CTAGACTACACCTTCAAAATGGACTCTTGCCTATAGCTCCATGGGTTTTTTTCTTTCTATTACTTCTAGTGATATTTTTTCCTACCTATTTAATATGTTCTACCAAATATTTGGCCATTTGGGAACTTCCTGTTGGCTGTGTTGTTGACTGTTGTGATTTTATTGCAAACGTCACGATGCTGATGGTTTCCTTGAAGACTGAGCTCTCCTGGAGTCATATGAACATGAGGGAATCTCAAAGAAAGTTTCTCACCTTCATGGTTATACAGAAAAGAACGTAAGTAAGTTTAATTGCTCAGAAACTGGAAGGCAAATAAAACTAATATAAAATGGATTTTTTAAAATCTCATGTTTCTCAGGTTTGGGCAGGGGTGGGATTTGAGGTCGGTACTAGTGGGTTACTTCCTTACACAACTGGAAATACATAGCAATGTGGAGAGCAGCTGCTACCATTAGCTAAGGATGTAGGGTGCAGGGGTCACTGCACAGGCCAAAGTCCCCTTCATTTTGGAGGGTCAGGTGCTGGATAGTGGGGGAAGGACAAACTGTAGTTCACAGCAAGCTCTGGAGGAAAGTTTAAGCCAAAATGGTTGAATTGTTACATATAAATTCCCTCTGCCTTATTAAGAAGAACACTGCAAGCAGTGAAGTTAGAATAGTCTTGAATGTCAACAGCTCAGGCTGACGCTACCTGAACAAATGAAGAACCATCATTAGTTGATAGCTGCATAGGGTATCTGGGCCTTCTCCTCTAAACTCTTATCACATGTGAGTAACTTAGCTTGGATGGAGCAGTGTGACATGAACTAGAAGGTAGGACAGTGGCCTGAACTCTGTAGCGTGGAGTTTCACTCCTGGTTCTGCCACTGAGCTACTCTGACCCCTCTCTGTGCCTGTTTCCCTTCCCCTCCTTTACCTGTCTTGTCCATGTAGAGTATAATCTTTTGGGGGCTGGAATTGTCTCTGACTGTGTTTGTAAAGTGCCCAAAACAAAACAGTGCTCCGTCTGTTAGAGTTTTTATGTACTGTAAATAACAATATTGTCCAGCCCAGTTTTTTAAAAACCATGGAAGAACCTCCCCCAAAATCTAAGGTTGGTTTAAAATGGTGGCATTTCTTTTAAATAGCACCTTTTGAGTTTTTTCTTTTTTATGTTCTGTTTTTCAATCTTTCAGTGTTATACTCAGGTCATATTTTCAAACTTTTCTCTGCTGGAGCTAGAGAAGTTTACATTTTTAAAGTGAAAGCTGAGATTCTCATACAATCACAAGACACCAGGTGTGTGAGCTTCAAATAAAAATCAGAAGGCAAGCAAAAGCCATTCACCAAATATTGCAAGACTCTCAAGAAATTCTGAGAATCGACAACAAGGAAATAATGACAGTTCAAATTATGTCAACAGGAGCATTCATGAAAATAAAGCTGGGCACTTCATTTCCATTCAGTTAATACCCTTTAAAGCTTGGGATTTTTTTCCAGCACCTAAACAACTGGTCTGCCCAGTCAGGATCAAGAATTCCAGTTTTTAGCTCAATGAAAATAAATAACAACATGGCCACGGAGCCGAGGAATTCTGATTCTGTGCAGCAGCACAAACACACTACCAGCTTGCAACACTAGAGATTTATTGTCAATTAACAGGGTTAAGTTTGCAGAACAGCTGTTACAGTGGATATTATAGCTGCAAAAGAAACTTACAAAATAAGTATAGGCACATTATTTAGCTTCCAATAAAAAATCAGTTTTGCAAATTCCTAAAAGTAATAGCACATTTTAATGTTTAAAAAAATTAGTGAAAATGTTTTCTTCTTGGCATTGTCACAATCCAAGATGTAACTGTTTTGTGTTTGTGCATAATGAGCAGAAAATGAAGCTGACTAAAACCAGGAAACATAAAAGAAGTTATTAGTGCACTGCTGTTTTTCAGATTGCACACAGGCAAAAGTAAACAAATATCAGAGAGAGTAAAGAGACAATTACACCTAAATAAAGGCCAGATTCTCAGCTGGCACAAACTGACATGGCTCCGTTGACCTAAGCGGGTTTATGCATCAAGAGTGCACTGAGCCTCTAATACAATTTTTTCATCTGTTGCAGGTAACACATTAGGGATAGGGTTTTTATTTTTTCCTATCCTGATACTGTTCCTTTAAACAGAGCATTGCAACTTTTTTTTTTATTAGTCAGGCAAACCTGACATAGGTTTTGGGGACATAAGCAGTCTTTACCTACTCCCACTGACTTGTCTGTAAACCTCCTAGTCCCTGTCCCCAGCTCCAGTAATACTCTAGAAAACAGCCCCTACTCATGTGAGGGAGTGGAGTAGGAGCAAGGTTTGTTGTGTGGGCATCAGGGAGTACAAGGAAAGCTGCCTTGCAAGCAAAAGCTCAGGCTATTTTCTGAATCACAAAAAACTGTATATGTAAGACTAGCCCCTGGGAAGCCTAAATTGGGCAAATGTCATTTATGCAGCAGAGTACTCCAGCTAACATTGACCTTGCCACTGTCTCAGAGGAGACATTTTCATCATCTTTTATGATGCCTTAGCAGTGATTCCAGCGTAGTAAACACCAAGGTATACATATGCATTTCAGTTGCCTCTCTTATATGCATACCCCTGCTAACTTCTCTGCCCCTATTCCCCACCTTCCCAATCATGCTTGCTTTGGACTCCCCTCCTATGGAAAAACCATTAAACCTCATCAAAACCGTGCTTGACAAATGACTAAGCTAATTAATGTAGACGCATTAATTAACACAGGCTCACTGAAGTCAGTAGTTTTTTTCTATCGACTTAACCAGGGACAGGATGTGATAAATAAGATTCTGTCCTGTGCATCCTATTTCGACAGTCAGGGCTCGTGGCATGTTATAATAACCAATATCAATAACAATGGTACACAGATTGGGTCATTCATTGGCTGAATAGAGAACCAATGGTAGAACAGTGATATGCTGCCAATATTTTGGCAAGGAGCTTCCACAAAAAATTTAGTCTGTGATGGGCCCCATATCCCAGGTGTACTAAGAAGTGGAACAGTGAGGAAATCAAGAAAACTGTGAATTAGATTTCCCATTTAAGCCAAAGTTCTTTCCACAGTCAAGGTGCAAAGCAGCATGTATTTAGAAGTGCCATTCCCTGAAAATTTTTAAACTTTGCCCTTGACCACAGTGACTGAGAACATGGCACAGAGGTCATGCCCCATTTTAAATTATATGAGCCTTAGACTTCTTAGGGTGGGAGCCTGGAGATTTCTGCCTGCAGGAAAAATATTGCAGATGCCCAACACATGGTGCAGTCTATTTCATTTAAAAAGCAAAAATGTGATTTTTCAAAAATCAATTTAATGAGCTCCTAGGCAAGTCATCTCTTGCACAGATGCAATATTAGTAGTCAGGGAGGATCTAACTCCATCCAGGCAGGGATATTATCCTAACTCTCCCTTCATTTTGAAGGTGAAATTTTCTAGGAGCTCCCTCCAGCACAACTGTGCAGTCAGTTCATAATCAGTCTGGCTCAGAACCAAGCAGAGCTTCTATAATACAAACATCGTAGTTAAGGCAAAAGTGGCTTTTTAAAAATCAAATTCTTTTGGGGGTCAATCAGACCTTACCAGATGCCTTTTTCCAAAGCAAAATGTATAGGTCACTTGGGAAATCTCTACTGTTGCTCAGGAGATAAGCTAGGGGTGGGAGTACATGGTAAAAATTGAGAGTTATGTACAAGTCTAGTAATATAAAAATAGAAGGTAAGTATATGTATGTTTATATAGATGACAAATTACATTACAAAGTACATGTGTGTATCTCTTGTAAGAGATTCAGAGACCTTTCTCAGATTGCAAAATCAGCCCCACCAAAATAAATAATGTAAGTAGGCGGTTTATTTAGGCTACCATGGAGGAGAACCAATGGGCACAAGCTGATAGAGGAAAAATTTAGGTTGGACATTAGGAAAAACTTATTTTCCATAAGGATATCTAGAATCTGGAGCACGCTCACAGCAGAGGTGGTGCAGTCACCATCCTTGGAGGTGTTCAGGAGAAGACTGGAAAAGCACTCGTTGAGCTCATTTGAGCCCAGTAACCTCCGGCCCATGGCAGGGGACCAGACTTGATGATCTTACAGGTCCTTTCTGGTCCTTCCATTCTATGATTCTACTAGCAAATTGTCCACCAAGAATGATGGGGGTGGGGGGTGGGGAGAGAGTGGCACCATCCATCACCCTGTGCGTGCTACCCACCCCTGCTCTGCATTTGGCCCTGTGCCACTCTCTCCCCCCACTCTGTGTTCAGCTCTGCTCCATCCCCCCCACCCCCCATCATGGCGTCTCTGCTGTCATGGCTGGCCGGCACCGCTGCTGCCCCAAGGAGCAGGGATGGGGGTGGGGGGTGAGGCCAGCATCCCTGCGGTCATGGCGGTGCTCCGCCATGTGTGTCTGTCTGTGCGGAGCTTTGTGATTGGCTGCTGAGACAACCAATTAGAGTGCTCCAAGAGCATTATGGACAGACAGACAAACACAGACAGACGGACGAAGCCCTTTTATATAAAGAACGATTCTATAACAGGACAAAACAATAGCACTGAAGTAGAAGCGACATGGAGGGCGGGGGGGTGGGTGGTTCTGGTAGAAGAAGTGCTCCCTATAATAAATACTACTACTTTAGCCCACTGCCCTCTACAGCAAGTTCACATGTAAATTCACTGGTTATGTGACATATTAGCTCAACCACCCCAGAGCTTGAAGACTTTTGTCAACTAGCAGGTATTGATGTATAAGCTGCAGGTAAAATGCCTAAATCCTGGCTACTTTACTGATTTGAGATGAGTTCAATCTCCAAAGCCCACTGTCCTCTTTCTGGAGACTGGTAAATAGTGATGATTTAGAGTTATGGACCACAATCCGGTCTGGGAATTCCTGACTCATTGATCCCACACCACGTAGCACCCACCTAACAGATGGTAGGGACTCATAGCAGCTAGGCACATGAGAGACTTACCTGCATTGGCACAATCCCTGGGATACTGTCCTTGGAGTGCTCTGGGATGTGGGCTATTTTGAGGTGCACATCTCCAGAGAGAGCTTGCAGATCAGCATCTACCTTCTGGGCCAGCTCCTCTTCAGAGTTAATCATTTTGTAGGCGTCCTTGTTAATGAAGTTAGTGAGCCTTGTTGCCACATTGGTCCCAATGTCTGCAAAGGCATAATTATCAGCCACCAGCTTCCCCACTGTCTGCAGCACACTGGGGACCTTGGCCCGCAAGGTGGCAATTTGCTGGGCAACCATCATGGCTTCATTTGCCTGAACAGTGATATGCGGCTCCACCCCAGATACACTCCACACTTTGCCAGTGACTGGGCTGAGCACCACCTGGTTGGGGATGGAGGCATATAGTGAGCTGTTGCTAACTTGGTAAATGCCCACAGAAAGTGAACCGCCCACTGTGGGCTCACCTATGACAGTGGCTCGGTGCAGATCTTTCATGGAACGGGTAAATGCTTCAGCTGCTGAGCCACTCATATGGCTAGTCAGGATATAGATGTCTTTGAGGGAGCCGTACCTCTTGCCAGTAACCTGGGGGAGGGTCCATACCTCAGTGCTATGAGAGGTGCTGCGGTCAAAGACAGTGTAGAGGTGTTGCCGGGGCTCAGGCTCAAAGAAGTAGGAGCAGAAGATGGGCACAGCTGTGGAATAGCCGCCTGCGTTGTACCTCATGTCAATGATCATGGCATTGGTATCCACCAACTTGTTCCACACCATCTGCACCAGCTGTGGTCCAATGGCTTTGACTGTCTCTGCCTCAGCCATCATGTCAAAGCGTAGGTAGCCCAAGTTGCCTGGCAACACATCAACTTTGAAAAGGGCCTCAATGATGTAGCCCAGCTCCTCAGGGCTTGGGATATTATTGGGGGGCTGTTCCTCTGGGGCTGGCTCCACCTGGCTGTAGAAGACATGAAGTCGGTGGTCCCCTGAGGCTTCCTGCAAGTCAGTGGTAAGCTGGGAAGCCAAAGTCTCAAAATCCACAGCAGAGCGATAACCACCTTGGGCCCTGTTGGTGCTTAGCATGGCACTGGCCCTCCCAGCCACCTCTGGAATGGCATAGTGTGCCTCTAGGAGCTGACCGGTTCCCTCTATAAGTGTTCCCATGCCCTGGTGGAAAGCCAGAACCTCCTCAGCCTTCTCTAGTGCCTCCTCAGCCAGTACAATGGCATCAGGCACCACACCTCCACCCATCCAGCTCTCTCCATGGTTGTCAATGAAGGTGATGACAGGAACTGTGATGCTGAGGCCATAGGTGATGTCTCCCGTAGGCTGCAGCAGTGGGAAGGTACAAGTGTGTGACAGTCTCCCTGCTGTGATCTCACCAATCAGAGTAGCACGGTCCAAGGACTGCATGAGGTAAGCAAACTCTTCAGCTGCTGTGGCGGTACGATGGCTGATGAGCAGGTAGATGCCACGGTGGGCCCCGTAGGGCTGCCCCAGAAGTTCTGCCTGGCTATTGTGTTCCTGTGTGTGGTTGGTGCGTCTATCATAGGTAGTGAAGAGGTGAACAGGGCCAGCAGCAGGGTCCTGGAAATAGGAGAGCAGCAGGGGCACAGCAGATGAGGATGGGCCCCCAGGGTTATAGCGTAGGTCTACAATCAGGTTCTCAGTGGCTTGGAGGGGCTCCCATACTTTCTGCCTGAAATAAGGCCGCACCTTAGCTAGCACTGAAGCATCAGCAAACTCATCAAAGCGCAAGTAGCCCACGTTGCCTGGAAATACAGATACCTTGAACAATGTGTCCACCAGGACATGCAGCAGCTGCTCATTGTTGGATAGGCTGGTAGCCACTGGGATTTTCTCCTCCAGTGGGGAGATAGCAGCTTCATCTGGTGTGGTGACTCGGAGAAGGAGGCGGGGGTCCTCAGACACAGCCTGCATCTCAGCATTGAGCTTGGCAGCAAGGTCCTCTGCAGACAGGATGGAGGAGAAGTCAAAGGCAGTGAGGTGCTGCAGCAGTGCAGGCACCCGCTCCACAAGGGTGTAATAGTCCTGTAATATGTCCATGAGGTGGCTGATGGTTCCAGGTACTGCTCTGCGCACCGACAGGATGGCCAGGGCTTTCTGAAGGGCGTGCTCTGCTTGAGTGGTCACACGTGGCATCACCCCACTGACCTCCCAGCTCTGCCCACCCCCACTCAGGGGGCTCACAGACCGTGACACAGGTACTGTCATGTAGAAATCAGAAGGACCAATGCGCAGTTTCTGGATGTTCAAAGAGCCCCCAGCAGTCTTCTCCCCCACAGTGATGGCTCTGTGCATGTGCTTGAGGATGTAAGCCACATCTTCAGCCACTCCAGTGGTATGCTGGCTGATCAGCACAATAACATCCTTTTCCATGCTGTACCTGTCACCTAGCACCTTGGGCAGTGTCCATATCTCTGTAGTGGTGTTAGAGGGTCGGTTGTATACAGTATCCACATGCAGCACCTTGTCAGCTTCATAGAGATAGGAGATGACAAAGGGAATGCCAGAGATCTGTCCCCCTGTGCTATGACGCAGGTCTAGCACTAGAGCAGATGTTCCCATCAGTGTCTTCCATACCTTTTCCACCAGAAAGCTCCCAATCCTCTGTACAACATCCTGGCCAATAATATAGTCAATTCTCAGGTAGCCCACATTGCCCCCCAGCTGCTCATACTTGACCACATGCTGGATAAGATTCAGGAGCTGCTCATGAGTGGGGAAAGCCTCAGGTTCTTGCTTGGGAGCTGTAGGAGCCAATGGTTCATAGGAGATCACAAGTCTTGGGTCATTTAAGGCGCCTTGCACACCAGCTGTCAAGACACTGGCCAACATTTTAGGATCAGAGATATCCAGGATCTCTCCACTCTTGATGGCTTGTTCAATGGCTTCTTGCATCCCCATCAGGTTCTCAGGGAAACAATAATTATCCAGAAGAATCTTGGCCATGTCCAGTACCAGGGTTGGCTGGAAGATTTCCTCAGCGCTCACACCAGAGAAAAAGAGGGATGATAACAGCAGGAGATATCCCCTGATCATTTTGAATCAGCAAGGAGACAAAAATAAACTGCACCTTGGAAATCAGAAACTCCTGTAGATTGGGCTGAACTTAGCTCCCTGTCAGCCCTCTGTGTCTGTGAATCAGCACTGAAATCCCAGTGATAAATCTGGGAGCACCCAATTGATAAACCTGCATTAAACCTTTAATCTCATTAAATTGGAGTGCATCAGCCAAAGTGCACCAATAGATGAAGTTCAGCATCATGCCACTTTACAAACCTCTTATGAAACAATAATAAAATTCAGTCAATGAGGAGATGTTTATACCAAGCTGTTGGCTTATAAGATTCTTTCTGACAGCTAATAGTTTTCAATATGTACAGCAGTGTCCATTATAAACTAGTCCAGAATTATCTTGACAGTGAATCCATTAAATGCAAAGCTGTTTGATGTAGAGTCATAATTAGAATAATAATCATCCAACCTATTAATGCTACCTATAAAAAATAATATGAAGAGTATTTTGCAGTGGCCTAACTCTGCAAGTATTTAAATTTTTGCAGGTATAGTCCAGATGATTATTTACAATACAACATCTTTGGTCTTTTCTTGCCTATGGTCAGCAATGAACTGTATTTTCATTCTACAGCTACAAGCTCTCATCTAGAAATACTGAACATTTGAAAAGGCCCATTAAATCCAAGGTAAAGACAGCCCATTAATTTCAGTGCTGACTATTTTCAGCATTTTGAACAAGACTGTGAAATGCATTTGCCTCATCGTAATGCAGCTAAATCCGAGGTGACTTTAATCTTTTTAATTTGCACTCAATTAGGATTTACTTGTAATACCACTAGGCAACATATGGTCACGTCTGGTGACAGCTTCCAGCCAATAGACATTAGACTTGATATACTAAAATAGAATATGGGGGGTGGGGTGGAGGGGTTGTTTCCTTGTGTCCCCAATGCATTTGAGGCTCTGTCATGCTAAGAGTTTGAAAGAGGATCAGCATTTGCAAGATTCAGCTTCAGGTCATATTCATGTGAACTGTTAACATGTAGAGCTACAATATGACATACCTAATATACTCAAAGCCAAAGTCTGGCTTTACCTTTGAGAAGAATGCTTGCTAAGTGCAGGTTCACCCAATCAATTCAGCTCATGTAGGGCAGATGCAAGAATAACTCAGCATGGAAGGAGTATGCTCAGCTGTGACCCTTCCATTCTGCTACTAAAAAGTGAAACAGGTTACCCCTTGTTTTAGGTGTGTAGGAGAGGGGCCATGGTCCTTGGTTGGCTATGCCCCCTCAGCAAGATGGAGTGATGTCTAAGTTAATCACAAATCCATACTTTGAACAGGTGCTAGGGCAGCAGTCTACCTGTATCCTTCATGAGTGATAGTTCAGAAGTTCCCTAAGCCTCCTCCCAGGACTGTGTATATGCAGGATGTGTTTGAATCCACCCTGTTTCTTATCTATGAGAATATATGAGCCACAGGATAGATTAGATCAAATAAGGATAGATTAGATCAAATAATGAACAAAGAGTATGGAAAATACAGAAATGTGCATGATTGTTTTCTGTTGAAATTTTGAATTTTCAAAAAAAATCTCCCCCACGTAAACTGGCTGCAAAAAGGGAAAAATGCATATTTCCTTTAAAAATGGCCATTTTAATAATAGCTAGAATGACCTGAAAAGCACATTTTTTCCCTCAGAACTTTTTGAAAAAACAATTTTAATATTCTGGTGCTTTTGTGACACTTGGAAATGTTTGGCTATATGTCCTGTATTTACTTTTTCTCCCCTGGGGATTCAGCACTGACAGATTCAAATTAGAAATACTAAAATCCCAGGAACCAGACTGTTTCACACGAGGGAGAATGGTCCCATGTTCAGAGTACTACCCTGGGGGTGCATGTACACAAGACGCTGATAGCACAGTAGCCTAATAATACCACACAGTAGTGCATCACAGCATAAATAGTGCTAATACATTATGGCACAGTATTATTAGGTTACTGCACAGTAGCATCACTTAAAAGGCATTTGCCAGCACTACTGCACAGTAACTCTGGTTACTGCACATTTATTTAGTACTTGATTATACAAATACTAAAGTAAATGCACAGTAACCACTGTGCATTAATGAACATGTACATGCATCCAGGGAGACTCCATTTCACTTTCCTGCTTTGCCACAGGCGTTCTGTATGATTTTGGCCAGCCAATTAGCCGTTTTCAGCTCAGTTTTCTCATGGGTAAATGGCAATAATAGCACTACTCTAATTCACAGGGATATCGTGAAGGTAGCTATAGTAAAGACAATGAAGTGCTCAGATGTTTTAGTGCTGGGGGGCAGTTCCTTACACAAAACAGATTTGAAATACCAGAAATCTTGCAAGAGACCCAGTGTTTAAGACATTTCCAGTCCAACTTTGCACACTCAAGAGGCTTGGGTAGTTGCGACTAACAAGAAGCGAAGCTGGGGCCAACACGTTGCTATCTTGTTTTATATCAGCTGGGTGCATCTACAAGAGACGTTCACTGTGCAGTAGACTAATTAGCTGCACAATAAGTGTTGCATGTCTGCACATGTGCCCCAATTAGACTGGAGTAAACTAATTTACTCCACAGAAGGATAGTACTTGTAAGTACAAGTACTGTCTTTTTGAAGAGTAAAGAACTTTGCAGCAGCACATGTATAGACAATGCTTCAGCTGGCTGGGACATGAGGGTGCTTCAGTGCGGGGGCTGCCTGCTGGCTAGCCCCAAGCTGAAGCACCCTTGTACCCCAGCCAGCCCCAGAGGAACCTGTTGAGCCAGGGGGAGCAGCCCTGGCCTGGCAGGCTGACCCATGGTGCCCCCACCAGCTGGGGCTGCTTCACTGCAGCTCAACACGTGGTAGTCCCAGACACACACAAAGATGTGGCACCTGGGAGCAATAAACTCCAGATCAATAAGCTCTGGAGTTTATTCAACTGCATTAATAGGCATATGTACACATTACGGCTGTGCGAAGCTTCGGGTGGTGATTTGAGTCGGAGGAGATTCGGCTGCCGAATCTCCGAATCGGATCAGGGGACCAATTAAAAGGTCTGAATCGATTCATAGCTCTCCAAATCTTCAGAAAAGATTCAGAGAGCTTTGATGATTCGCACAGTGCCCAGTGGCTGCAGCAGAGAGCCCCCTGCACTGGCAGGAGCGGAGAGTGCAATGCTTTTCTCAGTTTTTTTTTTCTTAAAGAGCTGGACCTGGCCTGGGCGAAGCACCCATGGTGGGGGATGGGGGAGCAAGGAGGGGGTTGGGGGGTCATGCAGAGCCCCCCATACAGCGTGGGGCAGTGGGGGACAGCGGGGATCGCCCCCCACCCCCGCCCGGCAGCACCTGTTGAGTCAGGGGTTTTTTTTCCAAAGAGCCAGAGCGGGCGGGGCAGCCATTGCTGGGTGTGGGGATGGGCCTGGCTGATTTGGAGACTTGGAATAGATTCAGGACAGTGATTCGAATCACCGAATTGAATCACTGTCCCCCGAATCCAAATCTGAAGTGAATACTTGCTGCTTTGCACAGGCCTAGTAGACATGCCCGCTGGAGATTTGGTCTATTGATTTTATTAAAGCTGTAATGATTTACACCAACTGAGGACCTGATATTTTGATATTCCTTCATCACTGGATCCATACTTTTTCAGTGTCTTAGCTACTTAATCCAATGTGTATTTATTTTATATTCCCAAACTTGTATTAAACAATAATTTATCATCCTGACAGGTGAACTGGGTAGAATGGTGCACCTGGCAAGTATAGGATTGCTAAATATCCCAAGACTGTCAAGACCCCAGTTTTATGCCTCACCGTCAGATGGGGTCCTGTTATAAATGCACTGCACACAGGCTGAGAGTATCACTGCAGAGATGTGCCAACCCTCATCATACATAATCTGCACAGTGGTGAATGTAAATGCTTGAGGCTTCATGAGCAATTCAAGCAATTTAGCCTTTTGTGCTGCTTCCAGTTTGCTTGCAAAATTCAGGGCATGTAGTATTTATCCAAACTGATAGGGAATGCTCCGTTAAAAATATATGCTCCTTGAAGATTATAAAATGCCTCACATAAATGCACAGTGACACCACTGGGATTTAACTGCAGGAGAGGAAAAAGCCAGTGACATGCAAAAGGGAAAAGAAGTTGGAAGAGAAAAAGCACACCAAAAAAAGGAATGTTCTACAGCTGCAGCAAAAAGAACAGGATGATCCAATTACAGCTACCACAGATAATGATTGTGCCAGCACTGGAAATTTTCTGAATTGCAGCCCCAAAAACATCACCAAAGGAAGGTGCTAGTCAAGGGTGAAGCTCTTGTATCATTATTTATTCATAAATTATCATCAAGACAAGATCCGCCATTGACCCAGAACAGTGTTTGATGCCTCTGATAGAAGAAGGCATCGGTAATTTTCAGCCATGTTGCATCCCTGCTCCAGTTGTGGAGTCTGGAGGCTACTTTGAGCTATGCTTGTGGATAACATCTCCAAAGAAGCCGTATTTCTAGTCATGATCACTAATGTGCATCACTCTTCCCCACCCAGAGTCTTGTAACCTCTCTGACCCCATCCAGGCCAAGGACACTGTTACACTGAAGGTTCAGGAGGAACTAGTATAGAGACCGACTAGCAAAACATTGGTCAATGTTTAACTAAAGTTTTTTCTTTGTTAGAGGTGGGTCAAGGCCATGGCACCTTCATTCCAAGGCAGCACGATCTAGGGCTAGAGGACTGGACCAGACTTCAAAAGACCTTGATGCAATTTTCAGCTTGCCACTGTCCCAGTGGGTGACCTTAGGCAAATCTTTTCACTTCTCAAAGAATGTTTCTCCTCTGACTCATTGCTGTTTTTTCCATTTACCTTGTAAATTTTTCAGGCCTCCTATTGCACCTAATATAATGGGTCCTTAAGTCTGGCCACATCGATAATTACACACAAAACCCCATGTTAAAAGAACTGAAGAAACAAATGAAATAAGAGGTCCCATAGACTG